ACTATAACTTTCAGTGCGAGATGAAGTTTTTCAGAGAACTAAACTGTGGAGAAATTGTGTATCCATAACTCAGAGCTATTTTGCTTAAATTGTGCTGATGGCCCAACAAAGAAGATTACCGAGTTGGAAATGGAAAACCGAGAACTGTTGTCATCTGTTCCTTGCTCCAGAGATGGCTTTGCTGAAGACATAAAATTGAAAACCCTAATGATTTTTAAATCTTACCAGAAGAGCCCAGAAGCATTTTAACTTCATATAGGAATTAGTACACGCAGGTATTCATGCAAGAATGTTCACAGCAGCCAACTGGTGTTACTTTGACACTCTTGTTTGTACCTTTTGGCCTGGGACGTGGGTTTTGAATGGACATTGTCTGTACCAGCTTCATTTAAAATAAACCAGAAAAACAATTTTATAAACAACTTGCATTTTCTTTTCAAATGTTTGGAAATGAGCAAAACCATAAAAAGTTATAATTAGAGCATGCTTTTCCAGTGACTGTAAGTTGAAGCCAGAAAAAAAAATGTGCTCTGTAAATATACCTCATGAAAAAAATTTCTACTTGCCCTAGTAAAATACTTGATCTGCTTGTTTTGCAGGTGACTGCTAGTAGCTGTTTCTTTTCTTGGTAGAGAATATTCACGTACAGTTACATAGATCTGCACTTCATGCACAGAATTTAAACTGAAAATGAAACTTGGAAGGAAATAAAAGATGGTTTTAAATGTCTATATTTCGTATAATGTGGATGACATGGAACTGTCGTGATGGTTCATTGGGCATCGTTACGAGGGGCTACATGTTCTGGCGACTTGCAGGTTATAAATGGTCAGTTTGAGAACTTGTTACTGGATATGAAAGCTGAGATGGCAGGTTATGGGCAGAGTAGTGTGGAGAGAAGATTTCTGTACTCTCCCTGCTTCAGCTTTTTTGCAGATGAATAGGACTTGTTCGGTTTGGTAAATAAAGTTCACTGTGAATGCCAGCTTTAGTCAAAGACACATTTTAGTGCTGGCATACTTGGAAGAAATTGCAGATCTTGAATACTTTTATTATGGCATTTGCTGTAAAGCTAGAAATGGCATTTTCTTTCATGCTTGTGGTTTGTGCCCTGTTTCTGATTTAGTAATACTTTTGTATACATAGTTACATTAAGCAATTTTTTTAAAGATTAAAATTTTTGTTTACAAAATATCAGAATATGGGGTTTTCTTAAAGTATTTTATGTAATTCAATTCTTAAGGGAAGAAGGATTGCTACTGTGATGTTGACCATGGCTTCTTTGCACTCACCTCCAATTGCTTTTTTAGAATACCAAATATGTCTGCCTCAGAAAACCAGAAATAAAACAACCTTGTGATTATTACCAGATCATCTTTAATTTAAACTTGTATAATGCTCTTGTTTTTAGACAAGTTCCTATTATCCCTCTTCTGCAAACTAGGAATTGAGGTGCAGGGTGTGGTAGTTTACTGGGGTCTCTCTGGAAGCTGAAGGTGGAGCTGAGAACTGAATCCAGATCCCTGGGGTTTGATGCTGGTATTCTAGTTGCTGCCCTGACTATCTTTGCTTCTAGCTGTTCATTTTCCTCTTCCAAATCTGGTTTTATATGCTCATTTATATCAGCTTTCTACCTGAAGCACTGCATGTAGTTCTCTTGAGACTGTGGAGGAGGGTTTTCTGCAAAATGTGGCTTCAGTAGGATGAAGCTCAAGGCAAAGATTGCTTTTAGTTCTGTAACCTTGTCCTAAAATACATCTCTTTGTCGCTGGTACCATATCCACTCTATAAACTGATTTGACCTCTTTCTCAGACTTGTTGTGAAGCCTCAAAGAGCCTCAACAGAGCTGCTGGTCTAAAGCCAAGCCTTTGCTGTTAGAACTTGACAGAAGAGTAATAATGGGAAAACTGTACTCTGCCTCAAAGATTAGTATTGAGAACTCAGTGTAAAATGAGAAGACACGTGCGCTACACAGAGGCACTGGTACCCTTTTTAAAGAATTAATTCTTGGAAATTATACATTGAAATAAACCCTGAATTTTGAAGTCAAGGAGTTAGACTTGAATTTTCTTGATTTCTCTGGAGGAACTAATCCTTTTCAATGAACTTTTTTCTGAAAAGCTGGAGTGGAAGGTTTAAAACAGTTGCAGCTTTGGAGGATATGACTGAAAGTAAGGTTGGTTTTCATATGCTGGAGCAAAAAAGGAAAGTCTTTTTTCCTCCTGCAATTTTTTTTTGCTTACCCGTGTATTAGAAGAAGGTTGGTTTTAAGGGCTTTAAAGAATGTGTTGGGAAAATAAAACCATCTTCACTGAGTCAGTTATGCAATAGAAGCTGAGAGCTAATACTTGCTTTATTTTGAATTGTGAGAATATATTTAGTATTCACTATGTTGATGTATAAAAGCTTTATTGATAAACACATCACAAAACTATCAGTTTTAGCAGATTTTCTTAAAGCTGCTGTGTTTAAAGGATTTGTGTGTTCTCTTAAGTATGTGTCTACATGATCATCAATTTGACAATATAAGGTTTTTTTGAAGCCAAATGCATAAATGTTGGCAGGATTTGGACTTCAGTTAATGTGTCAGATAATGCTAAAACTTGAATTCTGCCACAAATTTTGACTAGCCATGTATTGTTTTAGAAACACTACAGTTGTTTACTAGTTTTTAGCTTTTCCTAATTTAAATGGAAATTATATTTAAGGATACAGTATTAAACTATCTGTGTTGACCTGTGCTGTACATCTGTATGCACATTTAAATTCTTGCTGTTCAGGTAAATTTTCTTAAATGAGAAGATCAACTTTTGAGGCACTATACAGAGACCTGTAGGAATTGGGCAAGCTGGAAGTGGTATAAATGGGTTTTGTTTTGCCCTTAGAACTAGTAGTTAGTGCATACCTGATGAAGTTCAGCTTCAATTTAGAGACTGCAAAAATTGATTACTCTTTTCCCCAGGAAGAGTTAACTACAGGAACTGCAATATAAATTGAATCTATACATGTAACACTTTGTTAGATAATATTGGAGAACCAAAAAATGATAATAACCTAATTTTTAAGGAAGAAAAGTTCTTACCTTGCTACAGTTTCTCTGTAGTAATTTTATTGCTGAAACCACAATTAGCCTTTTCTTACAGTTGTACATTTGTTGCAATTTATTGTTTTGGAGGATTCCCCCAGAAGTCAGCACTGATGTCTTCCTACCTTTTTGTAACCTGGTTATTTCATTGTTTCATCTCTTAACACAAAATAGACCAAAGAATCTGTGTTCTGGCACTTCAGGAGGTCTGTCTGGATTAATTTCTACTGGCTGATCAAACACGAGTCCTTTTACTTCCTATCAATGGGATGTATACATAGACTAGTGCTGCAGTCTAGGAAAATAAATTTGTGATTGAGTAACTCTTGTGCCAAAAAGGAACATTGTTCCTCTCTTGAGCCAGGTTGGATCGTTGAATTTGACTGCAACTGAAAGAGCTCAGTGCAATGGCCCATTCCTAGCACCAGGCATTTATTTACTCTTTTATACTGTTTTCAGGTCTACCTTTTTTAGGCAGGTGAACATGAGCAAACACCTGTGGATGAGGACGAAGTCTGATAGCTTCCATTAATCATGCTTCTTGGAACTGCAGAGGTGGTTCCAGATTTATTCTTTGCCTGCAAACAGTGTTAATAAAGAGAATTGTGGACACAGGACAGAATTCCTCCTGCTGTTAGCAAGCTGGTGTATTGGTTTGATGACACCTACACAGCTCATTGCTGTGCCCTGGCAGTTTCTTTGGCTTTGCCACAGTGCATACGGTGCCTTCTGAGCCTTGGCAGGAGCCTGGGCTTCCCCTAGGAGTTGGCTTTGAGCAAGGGGAAGAAAATGTTGGCTTATGTAAATACCTTCTTGTGGACCAGTATGTCCTTCTGTCACAACAGCACGAGCAGAGCAAGCAGGAGGTCGTAATTGCTTCTCAGCTGTAGTTATTACTTGGCCTTTTATCCCTGGTAGCACTCTGTGGCTCACAAATTGATTTAGGTTTCCATTAAGAAGGCCTGTTACGCTATTTCCAATGTTTTAATATGTGCTATGCAGCCTCCCAGTTCCTGTGTTCCTAGGTGCTGGTAGGAATGAGCTCTGGAAGCATACTGTGGAGTCTGCACCCATGGATCGTGTGAAGGTAATCATAATTACAGGTGGGCAGGAAATCTTGTTGGGCTTCTTTCTGTAATGGAAATGGATGCTGTAAACTCTGAAATAGTTAAAGAATACAGATGCATGTGAATTGCTGATGGAATTTGGGGAAATATTGAAAAACTGGTTAAATAGCAGGAGAACTGCATTGTGTCTTGGAGCTGGAACTGAAGGCAGCTTAACTAACTCCTGAGGGACTGATGCTGCTCTGCAATGGTGACTACACCGACAGAACTCCTGACTGCACAAGTATTTTTGTACAGGCTGGCATGAGGTGGCCATGTGTTATTATTACTGAGGAAAGGAAGTTAACTTTTATTATTGGCTACATACCTGATTAAAAGCTGTGCTTGTGTTTTGACTCCTCTAGAGCTGGTCTAGCATCTTCCTCTTCATTTTCTCCTCAGCCTTATGTCTTGTCTTTTCTCAGTTTTTTCCTTCATATTCCAGGTGTTCTATTGCCATGTCTCCCAGGTGCTGGCATTCCTCCTCTAACTACATTGCTCCTTCTTTCTGCATTTTTGTGCCTCTTAGAAACACCACAAACAACTCTTAGCTGCTTACATACTCCCTATTTTTTCATCAGTTTCAGATAAAAATAAAATACTGTTATAGTATTGACATTTCAAGTATTTACTATTGTTTCACATGACTTTTTCTTAAATTGTAATTGGATTTTTTTAAGATCTACTTGGCACCTAGGTTTTCAAGAGGTTTCAAGTTTCTCTGCAACTATTTGTTGGAAATAGAATATCTTTTTTTAACTGTGTGGATACTGGGAGTTGGGTTTTCGGAGGAGAAAGCATCACGAAATGAAGAGATGTAGCACAAACATTGTTATTGCTAGCATCTTCATGGTTGCATCATAGCTAGGCTGTGGAATTTCTCTTTTTTTCAGGCTGCAGGGACTGTGGCAGAGAGGACTATTGTTACCATACCTGTTTAACTGAGGAGCAGCTGAGGTACTGTAAGTGTGGGACTTAGTGTCACGTGAATCTCAAGGCAGACACACGCAGGCTGTCTATGTCTTTACCAGAAATCATCCATTCTGAAGAATTATCTGCAACTAAAGTAAGCATTAGCCTTTCTACAGACCATCTGCTGCTCCATGTTCCTCTAACTGTTGCTTCTTCTGGAACTGCAGAAGCTTCCTGTGATAATCCTGCTGCTGCCAAATACGTTCTTGTGCTGTTTTCTCTAATTATGACTTCTTTGCTGCCACCTCCTCCTCATGGCACCTCCACTCTTCTTCTAGTTTCTGTTTCTGTAAACTAAAACGTAAATGATTATTAATTGCTATAGCAACCTTGGGTTTGCTGAGCATTCTTGCCAGAAGAGCAGATGCTGACCCAAGGAGCTAAGCAGATTGCCAAAGTGAAGGGGAGAGAACTGAGAATCAAGAGAGAATGGGTGCTGCTTAGTGATATTTAGCATATGTCTGGTTGGTTCTGCAAATAAATATTAAAGAAAAATATTGTCTACTTTCATGCTATCTGTAAGGGGGCTAAAGCCTGAATTATATCTTTCACATATGTGCCTTTGAGAAGGACATAAGAAATACGGATACAGGTACCTGGCTTACGTGAAACAAAGATGTGGAGGCAAGGGATAGAGGAGAGCAGTGGAACAGATAGGAAAGTTCAGAGAGTAGGAGCTGGAAGAAAAAATTGGAATGCATATTTGTGTAACAAGAACACAAACCCCGAATGAGAAGCCAGGCTATACAACAAACAAGGAGGCAGTGGAATGCCTTGGCTGAGATTTGGGTGTAAACAGAATGGCAGTAAAATGGGCTATTTTTGCAAGAGGGTTCCACTGAGAGTAAAGAGAGTAAAAGAAAAGGAGGTTCATGAAGCAAAGGAATATTCTCCCTATTTTGTGAATAGGAAGTTAAGAAAAAAAATCAAAAAAAAAGGTCATCTGCTTCGCTGAATGATGTTCAGGATGTTTTCCAAGCATCTTGGTGTTCTCAGTCCAGCAGTTGGACTTAAATGCCTATTTGCTTTTCCTGAAAGAAAGTTAAGCAGGGCATGGCATTAATTTCGAAAAATGTTTTATAAGTCATATTTGTCATGTCTTTTCAACCATCTCTTAAAACATTCTACTTCTACTAATCAGGTTCCTAGGGATGCCTGTTTTCCTGGGTGTGTTCCAGCGTGTTCAGCCATTTTTAGGTAGGCTGCAGCTCCTCGAGACCACCCGAGGAGGTCGCTGTTCTCCCCGGGAAATGCCGCTCCAATGAAAAATTATCACATGGAAGCGAAGCAATGAGATGGTGTCAAATTTATTGTTTTGTGTAAGCAGAGCATTTCAAAGGATGAATAGAAATGTGATAATTATATTGCACCAGAGCTTTATGGTTTCTGGTGCAATATACTTACAGGTTTCCCGGAGCTTTGCCTCAAGTATTTGGTGGGAGGGTTTTTTGTGGGGTTTGTTTTGGGTTTTTTTTCCCCCTAAAGCTATATCAGCAGTAGTAAAGAGCAAAAGTGCTATTAATGCCTTTTTTTTTTTTTTTGTATTATCAAATACTTGTACAGTTAACGGATAATCTCCATTGTTATGAGATCTTTATAACCATGTAGTTATAACCATGCTGAGGTTTTTGTCAGGGGAGATGCTCAGTAAGGGATTTAGTGCTTTATGAAAAGTGGGGAATATCATCTTCGTGAACTCACTGTAAGCTAGGTACAATTGGTTGAAAACCTGAATTTGTTTAATGACTTTGAATCACTGTTGATACTGATTTTTTTCATATTGAGAGACACTTGGAAAAATCAGAATTTAGATGAAAGTATTAGAAAAAATGAAGTTAAGTTAGTAGACATACACACAATACTAAACTTAGGAAAAATCTAGTATGCTGCTATGCACCTATTTCAGATTAAAAGATCTGTGATGTTATACTTTAGTTTAGAATTTGCCTGGCAGTGCTGGATCAGTTTGCTGGCTCCTTCACACGCTGTGTTGTTAGTCTTCTGTTATATTAGAAGATGTTTTGTTGTTATCTATGTTTCTTCATGCTGGAACATTGATAGGTTTGGATGCATGTGCATGGCCTGCAAAAGAAAAGCACAGACTACAATAGTTCTGTCATGATTCCATTCAAATATTTCCTTCTCAAATGAGAACATTATCTTCACTAACCACATCTCTTCCATCTCCTCTGTTGTTCCTTTTCCAGATCTACCTTCACTTTTTCCATTTGTTCCTACTTCTCTTTCCTTTTCCATTTCTGCTCTTGTTCTTCTTCCTCCTCTTCACTTCTAATGTCACCTTTCTGCCTTTTCTGTTCTCTTTCCTGGGCAGATTTCTCATTTTGGCATTTTTCAGGAGGAATCAGAATGGGAATATAATTAATAATGAACTTAAATTTGACATTCAGTGAATGATTATTATTAACTGAGATTTAACATTTTTGAAACATGTATGCTTTATGTACTTAATAAATTTTGTGGGGCTTTTCCTCTTGCTGTAGCCAACGGTGCCTGTTTTTTCTATATAACATGTTTTACTATTTTTTCTTCCACTAGATACTTGCCTTTGTGATACTTGATTACTCTTACATTGATTTCCTAGTATTTAGTGTCCAAATATGTTGCTTCTTAAGCTATATTCTTGAGCCTCTGCCAAGTTTGTGTTTTTCCCTGTATTCTTTCTAAATGTTTTTAAAGCTGTAACAGGTGAGTGGGCAGACACAGGGGTTTTCAGTCACAGAAAACAGGATGCTGAGGAAACAGGTATGGTCTAAAAAATCATAAAACTCTGGTAGCTGAACGGTCAGCTACAGAATGATCACGGAGGTGAAACGGGAAGGCTTCGGACAGGCCGTATTTCTCCAGTTGTAAACCAGGACTGAGGGAAATGCCATATCTGCCTGCGTGGATGATACGCAGATAAATAAAAAACCAATACTAAGCCTGTTGCTAATGAGGGTGAATGAGTGTGGGGGTGACTTGAGATTGGCTGCACCTGTGCCTGGGGTGAAAAGCTACACCTGTGCTTGGGGTGAAAAAGCAGCTGGGGCTGCTGGAGAGCTCAGTGTGGCGTGGGGCAGCCCCGGGGCAGGTCCTGTGCGGAGTAGTGCCGCCCTGGGAGGCTGTGGGGTCAGCCCCGGCCCGGGAGAGAGCCCCTCTGAGGGGGAGCCTCGGGACAGGGTGTGCTGTGAGGGAGCTGAGGGCTGGGGAGGTACCTGCGAGGCGAAGGAGCCCGGCTCTCCCTCCGTGCTGGGCAAGGCGCCCTGAGGGGACACCAGCCGTGCTGTGGCGGTGGAGGCCGGCGGTGGAGCTGCCCTGCTGCGGTGGCCGTAGTCCAAGAAAGGGACACACTGGCATAAGTCTTTGGGCTGTCTTTATTATCCTCACTGCACTGGGAGTTTCCTTCAGCAAAATGCCCCTGCCACACGGCAAGCCGCGTTCCTGCCTGTCCAGGCTCCCCTGCTCCCCGCCCGCTGGCCGGTGGGACTACTGGCTGGCGGTGGCTGATTGTTCCTTCAGAGTACAAATGTTTCTGTCTAGAGGTAAATCTGGTCTTTTTGTCAATGTGTTTATGTTTATGTTATATTTTGGTGGTGCGGGAAAGTGTCAGAACAAACTATAAATAGAATCAAAGTGCTGCGTTTCATGTAAATCTCATTCTAGGTACAGGAATTTTCTGTATGATATAACTTAAAATCAAAACTCATATTCTTGGTCTTTCTGCCCCTCTTCTGTTTCCCACTCCCCTTAAATTAATCGAAGATACCAAGAATCTTACTTTGAATCTTCATTTGTTATGGTCAGAAAAGGTGCATCAAATGTGTCGTCAGGACTGTAGTGAACTTCAGACAACAAAACTGGGGGGGAAATATTAAGACTTTGGTGCAGGCAACTGTTAACATATTGCAGATGATCTTGTCCTAATCAACAGTGCTGCTGCCTTGACCGCTCTCCCGAAGGCTGATGCTCTTGGCTGGCTGGATTAAATGCTCACAATTAACTTGACCTCTGTGTGGATGAACGGTGGAAGGCCATGATATCCAGCAGAGAGAAGCTGTGATGTGATACAGGTGAGTTATGAGCTTCCTGCTGCCTCTGACCTGCTGGTTAACTTTGTGCAAGCTTTGTCTCTGACAGTCTGCTGCCTGCAGTGCAAGGCCCAACAAAATCCAGCTTTCGGTTTCCAGGTATGACCCTAATGCAAGCAGACATGCCGAAGTAACCTCAAACCACATTTATTGTAAGTGCATGCTCTAGTACACATACTTGGGATTTTCCACTTAACAGGTGAGGTCTAGAAAGGGAAAAAAAAAATCTAGCTGCTGTGTCTGCTTGTTAATACAATTTGTAATCCTTGACTTTTGATACAAAATAAAAGGAAAAAAAAACCTTTCACTTACTGTAAATGTAGTTAAAATAATTTTGACTGTTAGTGATGCTTGATCTATCTTGTTTGAGGCTTAATAATAAAGAAATTAGTTTTAATAACAGGTATTACCACTCAAAAAAGTTACAAAATAATTGCTAAATACAAGAATTTTCCATAGTCTTCTACCTTGAAAGCAACTACCACGCAAAAGCACAGAAATCAAGTTGGCTGGACTCTCCCCTTCAATCTCTTTTGAAGAAATTGTCTATGACATATTAATCCTTCATCTCCTTGTTATCTCTGCCACTGAGATAACTAAAGGTGCATACAGTAATCTTCAGCAAGATACAGAGATCTGTTTCTTGTTAGTTAACTTTACTGTAAGTACTTATGATATATGGTCATAGGGGGGTATCGATCCATCTCCTTGCAAGCAGCAAATGCCAAAATGTTGTGCTGATTTGTTAGTTACATCACAAGAGTTTTTGATATGAAATATTCATGTCTCTTCAGGATTTGCACACTAGGACTTTACCACAACTGCTGCAGTCCACTGTTGTGCAAGCGCTCCAAATGAAATGTATTCCTATGCTAGTGGATCTAAAATTTCTGCATGAAAATTTACCTGAGACATTAAGAGAACTTCAAGATGCTCTGTGTTCTCTCTGGTGGTGAATTGCTGAGGAAAAGATAAAAAAACCTATTTTCTTCTATAAATCACAGTTTAGGATTTATGCTACAGGCTAAACCCACGTCTACTGATTTGTGTAAAGAATTGCTGTTTGCTCTTTGCGGGTTGTTGGGTTTTGTTTTGGCTGTTATTTATAAAACTGCTTCTGCAGTTCTTTCTAATACCAGGGGGCACTGTGCACTGAGACCCTCCTGTTTCACTTCACCCTAAAACAAGTTGTTGGACCAGTGAGGGAGAATAGATGGCATTTCAGAACATACTTTGAGACAGAGCTTGTCCTCTGCTACTCCAGCTGTACTCTTTCAGTGCTGCTGGTCCTAGGGAGGGGTTATAAGGAAGAATGGTGTTCTACCATTAATCAGTAGTGTCTGGTCTTACATGTAGACATACATTACTTAACAGGTGACTGTATACAATTTCTGCAAATGAGTGATTGTTTTGCTACCTTAACTTTATCCTGATGGTACAAAGCAGATGGAATCTGTACCACAAGCCAGACAGCACTTAGTTTGTTGCAATCAGTGTCTGAACCGTGACTGAAAGCAGTCTGTAACAGAAATATTTAGTCAGACATTACAGCGAAAGGAAGCAGGAAATTTTGCTGCCATAGAACTTAGAAGATCAGAGCTGCTGCCAGCTGGGGTTTTTTCCCTGCTCTTTGTTTGTTGGGAAGTCTCTTAGCTTGCATACTGCTTTCAGAGTTACTTGTTTTTATGCACATTTCTCCTGCATATTAACTTGAGGTTTGGTTTCACTCCTGCCTTAAACCTCTCAACCTGTTTTGCACAACTGTAAGCCCTGAAGCTCTTCAGAATAATTTGTCAGTACCACGTAATTAACAACTGTGTAATTGTAATGACTCTAGCAGGTGGCTGCTACTCTCTTTCTGAACATCACTTTTCTCCTCATTACTGAGGAAAGCAAATCCCATTCTCTCTTTTGATGCAAAGAAGATCTAAAGACTTATTTGCAGGTGTTTTGCATATTTAAAAATGGTGAATATTTTAATAATTAGCTTCATTTATGTAATACATATCCAAAGATCTTGAAATATTTTAGAAACTCATAGTGTGATTTTATTTTTAGTTTAGGAGTGATGTGAATACATCACTTCCAGTGACTTCAGCAGCAGCAAAAGCTCAGTTCTTCTGAAGATTGGGCTACAAATACTGACATTTCACATTTTAATTAATAAGTTCTGTATTAATCTTCTATGATGTCCTGTTTGGTTTGTATTTCCTGAATATGGCTGTAAGAGACATATTCGTAAATCAATAGCATAATTAAAAGAAAAGTGAAAGGCTTTATTTTGCTTAGCCAGAGATGGCTCTGGGGAGACCTTACAGCAGTCTGCCAGTACCTGAAGGGGGCCTACAAGAGAGCTGGAAAGGGACTTTTTACAGGGCATGTAGGGACAGGGTAAGGGGGAATGGCTTTAAACTGAAAGAGGGTAGGTTTAGGTTTGATATTGGGAAGAAATTCTTTGCTGTGAGGGTGGAGAGGTACTAAACCAGATTGCCGGAGAAGTTATGGATGCCTCATCCCTGGAAGTGTTCAGGGTCAGGCTGGAGACTCTGAGTAACCTGATCTCATGCAAGGGGTACCTGTCAATGGGGGGTTGGAACTAGATGATCTTTAAGGTCCCTTCCAAACCAAGCCATTCCAAGATTCTCGTCTTAGGATAAATTGGTTTAGAGCAGGCAGTTGATTCTGAGAGGTGTGAGCTGAATGTAGGGATTTTATATGAAGAGTCAGCATTCTCCTGGTGTGTAGATGTGGTGCTTATGGACACGGTTTAGTGGTGGACTTGCTAGTGTTGGGTTAATGGGTGCATTCAATGATCTTAAGGGTCTTTTCCAACCTAAAAAAATTCAATTTTTCTATAGTGCATTGCTCTTTTTGCCACAATACTGGACTGGGGGGAAAAAGAAGGCATATGCTTATTCTGAGCATGGAATGTCATACTTTTGGCTTAACACAAGTTCTGTACAAAACAGTTTACTGGGGTGCAAAAAAAAAATTCTTAATCCTAGTTGAATCTTACAGATTCTGCTTTGAAGTCATTTGGTATAAATTCCACTGAAGGCCTACTCCTTGGGCATCTACTATAAGTAAATGCTGAGGGGTTTGTCCAGGGCTATAGAGATGTAGAAAATGATCTGTTAAGTGTGTGTCTTCTCCCTGTGTTTCCCCAGTCCCTGGTACTTATCATCAGGTCATCACTGTGCAGAAAAGTCACAAGCCTGACTTAACTGGCTGCTTAGGACTAATTAATGGTTGTCCTGTGTCATCCAAGTAGCACAAAGCCTGCCTATCCCATGAAGTTTTCAGCAGTGTCACCACTTAGCTTTTTCCTGGTGTAC